AAGCCCCTTAATCTCGACGTTCTATAGGACAAAGCCCGTTAATCTCGCCGTTCTATAGGACTACAAGCCCTGGAATCTCGATGTGAAGTTCTATAGGATTACAACCCCCTCATTAATCCAGAGAGGGGTCGCCTGATAAAAAAAAGGAATCGCCCGATGGGTACATCTCGGCAGCTTACAAACAAAAAAACACCTGTAGACGACGGCGTCTTCAAAACTCCGACCCGCAGGGGTCGATGCCAAGAGGTTAGGGGCGATGCCAAGAGGTTACCCACCACTGCCACTAGCTACCAAGTCTCCACTCGCGATTGCAATGTCAACCATCTTTTTCTTTTACTATTGTTTTTAATGACATACGTACCTTTTTTCTTTTGTCTTTTTTTTTACAACCACCACCTTCCCATAGAGATACCGGCAGGGGCCATGTCCCGCTAGCAGGGGTTCAGGTTATATTTCGTGTATTTTTCAACGTGGTCACATCGTCGCCGTGGAATTATCAGATCGGATGGCAGGGAGCCCTGCGTACTTAAACCAGAACTAACACCTCAACAAGTGAGGCATGGCCCCGGGCTCGGGCTCCATGGGACGGCCAGGAAAAGGGAGGTCAGTCATCGAGGCTCTCCAACATCATTCCCCCCTTGAAGTTAGACCCCCCTATCCCAACCCCAGTTGACTACCTCTCTCCGCAGTGCGCACGAGCGTGGTCTTGCCTCCTTACTGGGGACGCCTCCACGGGTTCCCCCCTTCCCCAAAACACAACGCTCTTCAGATCCCACACCCCCTGGGGTACTTGCCAACGGCCCTTGGGACCTTAGACCTTAGGTCCCAACGTCCCGGTTCCACCCAGAGATGGCTGGGAGTCTTTCAACTTTCAAGATCCTAGTGTGAGTAGTACATAATCGACCAAGTATTCCTACTAGTGTAATCCTAGTGTATATTCGACCATCTTCATCAAACATACCTTTTTATCATCACCATCGCTTTCTCCTCCTCCAAATGATTTAACATTCTGAGATCCCGTCCGTTTAATCATCAGCAGGTATAATTTCTGGAATATACGTCTGAATACCTATATCCACTAACCCCCGTTCTTGATGCACGAAACGGTAATGAATCTTGAGAATCTTGAGAGAAAGGACCTCTCGCGATTCCCATCATCGTCTCCATGATCTTCGGTCATTGACCGGCTGAAGACCACCTCGCTAGTACACTAGAAGACCCGACTCCAGATGCCATCGTGTTGTCCCCTCAGCCATATCGCACGTCCTCAGGAAACCCTCGGTGGGTTTCGCCGATCGTAAACCCATCCATCCGTACACGACCAACAAAGATCCGAGTGGATGTCAACAGACGTATCTTCAATAACCCACCTCAAGATCACATCGTCTTCTCCCCACAGCCACGTGTGTCGTACACGCTTTCAATTCAATCGTTTTCGTTTTTTTTTTTTCCGTGCACCCATCGCTACCTGACCGACAACGATCTGAGTCGAAGCAAACAAAAGATCTTCAGTCGACCAACCTGCGAGGCTCAGCGGTGTTCCCCATCGCGCATCTGCTCTTCTTCAATCGACAAATCAATCAGTCAACCAACCTGCGAGGCCATATGTGTCGTACACACTCACACATCACCGACAACGATCTGAGTCGAAGCCAACAACAGATCTCAAGTCGACCAACCTGCGAGGCTCGGCGGGGTGGTACCCAATCGCGCATCTGTTCTTCAATCGGCGAATCAATCAGTCATTCAATCAACCAATCCTGACCGGTGAGACGAACGGTTTCTGCTTAGCGATTCACGACGCCGGACATTGGTGTTTTTTTCTTCTTCGATCGCTTATTAATCTGTCCGATTACAAGGCGATGGCTTCATGCTGCAGCAGATGCCGCTTGCTGTCCAACCTTCGAGATCCTCTCCGTCACTTCCCTGGATCGTCCTCTCACACGGTCSAGAACTCTCTGCATCGCATCGCCCCCCGGGGGCATCGGACCCCGGTTGTAACGGTAGATCCACCACCCAGCCGCACCCGTCAAGCCTGCCAACACTGGGGAGCACGAAGCAACACGCGCACGTTGACGGCAACACAATCCAAAGGCACGTAAGTACATCGTTATTCTTAGCGAAACCCGCACAAAATCAGGAAACGTTCATTTACTCACCCAAGATCTCCTCCTCAGAGTCCTCACCATATAATTTTCATCGTTATGTATAGTCCCTCTCACTCACTTCCGAAGCATTCATTGCATCGGGTCAGTCTCGATACCCTCAGATGCGCAAGCACAGGGCAAAGGAAAACTACCGCCAGAAACAGACGGGAACGCGCGCGCGGCTTTATGTATTCCGGAATGGCGTCGCTTTTTTTTTTTTTTTTTTTTTTTTCGTGGGAATGGCGTGGGTCTTCGTTTTTGTGTTCCGTAACACGTCACCTTCGCAACGTCTATCAGGAATCAAGCCCTGTCGTTACACTGTCACTCGACTGTTTAGTAAGCCACTTCTGAAGACCCTGTCATTGCACTGTCACTCGACTGTTTAGTAAGCCACTAGACCGCCGTTCGCTCTGTCACACACCCGCGTGTCAGTCAGACAGCCGTTCGTAGCTCTGTCACACACCCGCCCGGCTAACAGGTCATGTCCACACAGTCCGTCTTCTGCACAACCTAAACCCAACCAGCAACCCAACGTAATGATGCGCCTTTTCCTTACATTTTTCTGTTGCGCCTACTCGCCCAATCAACTTGGCTCGCCCAGCTGACCAGCGCCAAGGACCACTATTCAGTGTTCACTATTCGCCTCCCTCTGCCGCCGAACAATCACATACGTTAATCCGCCGCCAAACAGACGCAACCCTACATACAGTAGATAGCTTAGATACCCCATCAAAGAAAGGAAAAACGAAGATATCACTATTCGACTGACCGGACCTAAATCGTTCAGAATAGGGCAAACTACGCGGAAGTCAACAAAAAAAAAGGTTATAAATTGTAGTACGGGCCACAATACAGTTTGCAATTGGCAGTTGCGGCAATTTATAGAATAACTCCAAATTCCGAGGCCAGTCCTACATACATTTTGCAAGTAACGTTCGGGCAATGTATACAACTCATCTTTCAGGCCAGGTAGGGTGCCCCAAGTGCAATAATTGTTGCAAACTGTACCTTCACCCATCTGCTTCCGGCAGTTGTGTTAGCGCTGGGGTGTATATTTACCGAAAGATCAGGGGCGTACCGACTGAGGTAGGCCAGTTGGGTCACCACACTAAATGATGGTGCTTGTGTTTTGTACGTTTAGCATATTACGCGGAAGAGGTAGGCCAGTTCTTTTTTAACTGGCCCACTGTCCCACTGTTAAAAGAACTGGCCTACCTCAGTCGGTACGCCCTCTAGGGTACTTGTTTTGTATCGTTCTATTTTAACGCCTATTTCCAGAATAGTCAAAGAACGATACAAAAAGATGCGCAAGGATGCCAGGACAAACAAGAAACAGGCGCCCCCCCCCCGAAAAAAAACAAACAAAAAAAAAAACCATCATTTACCGAGAAATGGCCACAGAAAAAGGAAAAGGAAAAAACACATCATTTACATTGTTTGTTTGCCCTCTAGAGGCTTACACATCAGTATGACAATCGACAGTTGCAACAGAAAACGTGATCTAAAAGGAATTGTTTAGCAAAACGGGTTATTGCAGGAATAGCCCCCGTTTTCGGAGTTTCGCAGCAGAAATGTTGTACGGGTCCGAAAGATCCATCTGTCTTCGCAAGGAACGTGGGGACCCGAGGGACTCCCCCGCGCCTGCAAATATTTTTTGCTCTGGAACGACCGGGACCTCTAAAGCTGCAACGCAAGATATAATATATATATATCGTCACAATATATATATACATATCGTCACAGCCCCTCGTTTGTTGTCCTCTTCTCTCTCTCTGCCTACGGTTTACCGGGCAGTTCTATTTGTGACGATATATATCGTCAAATAGAACTGCCCGGTAAACCGTAGGCAGAGAGAGAGAAGAGGGCAACAAACGCGGGGCTGTGACAAACTGTTTCGTCGGAGTTTCACCGACTCATCAGGAGGCTGAACCCTCAACAGTCTGCAGAATCCCCTCACTGATTACACTGTAAATGATAATCTACCTTAACCAAAATCAAAGTAGACTATC